CTGACAGCACCAGAACTGGTGTTCCACTGTGTCCAGAGGATTGAATGCCAGTGACTTCTTCAATTCTCTCAGCTCCAGTGCTTCGTAGGAGAGTATGTTCGTGGCTCTTGGGATTCTTCCTCATTTAAGCATATCCCTGGATATGCTCTGGACATACTCCATCATTAGGCCCACCAAAGTTAACATCATCATCCTAATGCTTTCATGCACAATGAGCTCCACAATGGGTTCCAGGCTCATGCTGCTTTGGCATCTGCACAAATAACCAGCAAGAGAAAAAAGTGTGTGAAGGACTGATTGTCTGAAGCAGGGGGAGAGGGAGGAAATGAGTGCATTATGGGCCACAGACAACCAGCATCACAGTTTTGTTCCCAGTGTGCACTGGGAGCATAATCCAGAATGCAAAGGGGGCATTGTTCCAAAGTTGATGGTTGCCACCCTACTGGGGATGCACTACAAATTATGTCAAATTCTCATGCAAATCAGGTGCTAAAAATATATTACAAAATCAGGTGCTAAAAATATATCTTAATACATTTGACTTTATCTCTCAGTGTAGACATGGCCTGGGAAACCTCAGTACCCCAGGGAGATAGGAGCAGACCACCAACAAGACAGGAAAGCAAAGAGGAGGCCTGGCAGGTTCATAACCACCACAGGGCAAGAGATCACAATGGCTAGAGACAAATGAGGATCTATAGGCTCTGGCCACCAAAGAGATGAAGACCATGAGGACTTCCACACAGCTAAGTTTCCAGTCAACACCAGATCCTCAGTGTGGAAACTATGGAAGATTCCTCTCAAGATCCAGCTGGTCCTAGGGAATGGAGAGATGTACATGAATGGATGACAGCTAAGCCCAACTGTAAGAAAATCAAGCTTATCCACAAAGAGTTTTCCTCCTGTTGAAAAAAAACAGATGGTACTTGTTGGTGATTTTGTACTCAGAAGAATTAAAAGATCATTCTGCAAAGGAACAGAGAGACAACAGGACAGTGCTCCATCTTCCTGGAACAAAGACTCCATTCTAAGATAGGAGAGTCAAATGAAGTCAGTGGGCAAGGATCTATTCATGGTGGTTCACATGGAAAATAATGACACTGAATCATGGGAAAGCTCACAGATAATCGATGATTCTTCTTCAGGACACTTCCAATTTCCCAGGAAACTCTAAACAATCTTCTCTGAGATCTGTCCTGTCCCAGAAGGCAGAATATTCTGGAAATGAACCACTAGCTAAGTGGTGGAAGGTGGAAGATTTTGGTTTTGTGGCACATAGGTCAACCTCCTATAGGGAGAGGAGCCAGTATAGTTTGGATATCCTCCACCAGTAGAGGGGGAACCAAAATCCTCTGTAGCAGTTTGGTGCAAGTAGTCAGGCGAGCATTAAACTAATAACAAAAGAGGAGAGTAAAACCAGGGAAAATATGAGAGATCATTCAGCACAGAATCAAGATATTAAAAACAAAATTAATGAAAGAACTAAAAGATATGAAGAGAACAAAATCTTTAATTGCTTATGCACCAATACTAGGAGCCTGGATCACAAACAAAACTGAACTCGAATTGCTCAGGTATGAATACAAATTCTATCTAGTAGGTATTACAGGAACTTGGTGGTGATATGTAAGACTGCAATATTAAAATCAATGGTTATAACCTATTTAGGAAGGACTGAGTGGGCAAAAGGAGAATGGGGCTCTATGTCAAAAATGGCACTATTGGTTTTGGAGCCACTACAATTTGGAATAAAATGATTTTGTGTACTTATGAATCATATAAAGCACAAGAGGGAGTATTAATTGATGTTAGCTAAACACCACCATATCACACTAGAGAACATGATGACCAGATCCTTACACCTCTAACTACTAGGTGCTGGTGATCAAGGGGGTCTTCAATTTGAATGACATATGCTGGAGGTCTTATGCTGCCAGTACTAAAATATTCTTGTAATTTCAAAATAATCTATTATATATTTTAGAGAGTTTGTGCATCTGTGTGCCTGTCTGTGTGTCTGTCCATTTGCTCAAAGTCCTCCTCCTAAATGGTAAAAGCTAGGACCACCAAATTTGGTATGCAGCTTCCTTTTATAACTTAAAGCAAGCTCAGGGTTTTGTTCTTCCAGAACAATGGGATGTGCCTGGAATGGGATCGTTTCACATCAAATGAAAAGGGAGGGATGTGATAGCAGGGACAGCTATACTCCTGAATGACCACAGGGGGGCAGCAAGAATGGGGGACAGTTGTACTCACAAATGACCTTGGGGAGCATCCATTGGCTGGCAGCAGAGCCCCCGCTACCCTAGATTGTCCCCAAGGAGCAACTGCGCACTATGCCACGTAGCCCCCACCACCCCAGGCTGGACCTGGACCCGGGTAATGCCGGGTAAGTCCTCTAGTCTACTATATATTTTAGAGAGTTTGTTTATTCAAGAACTAAATGGTAAGCACTAGGCCCACCAAATTTGCTATACAGTTTCCTCTTATCATAATGTGAAGCAATGTTGTGCCAGGAAAATGAGATATGCCTGGAATTGCTTCTCATAAACCCATACCAAAAAGAGACACAGAATCATCAGGCAGGTGAAAAGGGCTGACTGGGGGTGCCCCCTCCTCATCCAGGACTGACTTAGTCCTAAACCGCCCATACCCCCAGGTGCCCTTTAAGGAAAGAGGGGTTGAAGCTCCTCCCTTCCCGATTCTTATGGGGATATTGCTGGCTGTTCACCTTAGTCAGGGAGTGAGGGGAAAGTGCACTGTTTGCTGTATTCTTCATTCTGGCTGGGGAGCACAGAGGACAGATGAGCCTGGACCTGGCCCAGCTAGTGAACATGGTTGTGCCCACTGAGGCTACAGTGGCCACGGAGAGGTGCTTCTTACTCAGCTGCAAGTTGCTGTGGTGAGAGAGGGCTGGGGTAATTCTTTCTCCCCAGAGCAGCCTACATACTGAACCTCTCATCCCCAACGCCACTCCAGAGCAATTATTTAAATTAAGCATGTATATTTCCATTTTATTATTCAAACAATAATTGAGGTAAGGAGTTGAGCAATGCTGGGTGAATCTTCTAGTATTCTCTGTATGACAATTGCTAAGTCAAAAAGTGATACATCCAACATGGGAGAATTCTATATTAGATTGAGTCTTGACAGATAAAGAGGAACTGATTACAGAACTAAAAATTAATTGTAGCTTAAGTACAAGTAATTGTAGCTTGATTGTATTTACAATATGGAAGCAAAATAAAGTCTATACCAATAATATATATTGGCTTTAACAAGGCCAATTTCACAAAGCTGAAAACAATTATGAGCTATATCAGCTAGGAAGAAGAATTTAATCATAAAAATCTGAATGATTGTTGGAAATTGTTTAAGAATACTTTATTAATGCCCAAAAATCACAATTGAGGAAGGCTAAAAATAGGTGTGGAGGGGAAGTGAAGGCATATATAAAAGATAAAAAATATATAATGATCAAAGAAAAGGGAAACTGATAGTAATTAATATCTATCCTAAGTTATGAACTATAGAAAGCTATAAATATGGGAACACAAGGTGAAATATATGAACATCAGAGTTAGCAACAATAAGGAGACTTAGTTCTACTGGGAAGTAGAACAATCCTGACATTCATATTGGCCCTTTACTATGTGGAAATGGAAGAATTATCAGTAACAATGCAGAAAGGCAAGTGTTCAGTAAATATATCTGCTCTGTATTTTGGAGAAAAAACTGATGATAACACTGTTTCCATTCTAAGAGTATCTTTGGAGGATGGTGATCAGAAGCTACTACAGTTAAACCCTTGTAAATCAGCCAAGTTCAGATGACATGTAACCAAAAGTTTTAAAGAGCTGGCTAAGGAACTCACAGTGCTGTTAATGTTAATTGTCAGTGTCTTGCCAGTAGTTAAAAATGGTAAATGGGATAACCCAGATAATTATAGGCCTTCTAAATGAGGGCCCGCTGTCAATTGTGTGCATTTCAAATGGAGTCCCGCAGGGATGTGTTCTATTTAATATTTTTTTCAGTGACCTGAAATAAAACAAAATCAACACTGATAAAGGCTGCAGATGATACAAAAACTGGAGGAGTGGTAAATAATGAAAAGGACTTACTGCCTACACAGGGGAATTGAGAGGGTTCAGAGAAGAGCCACAGGAATGATTAAAGGATTAGTAAAACTCTTTTCTAGTAACAGACTCAATTACCTTAATCTATTTAGTTTAACAAAGAAAATCTTAAGGAGTGATTTGATTACAGTGATTTTAATGTTGAGAATAATTAACCATTTGAACTTTGCACCAAGCACCATGATCAGTGTTCCCTGTAAGCTGTGCACTCAGGCAGCAACCCAGGAGAGATTCAAATGCCTCCCAGCTGATTGGCAGAGCGTCTACAGCCTGCTGCACATGTTTCTATTGGCGATGCACATCAGTACATGCAGTGGGACCAACAGCCTCATCAGGCCAGTGGGCAAGGTGGAAGGAGGCTCAACTCCATGCTGCCGGAAGAGAGAGGGTCTCAGCAGAGCTGGGGGCAGCTAGCCTTCAGTGCCACCTGGAGCATGCTGTGTTTTCCCTCTCTCCCCCTTCCCCCACAGCAGCCTCACAGATACCCATAGTGCACTGATGCAGTGCTCTGGTGGTGATTTAAAGGGCAGTAGCAGCAGTGGCCGGGTCCCTGGGTCCTTTTGAATTGCCAGGCCTGGGGTAATTGTCCCCTTTACTTCCCCCATGCACTCATCAGCAGGCATGTGCACATGCTTCAGTGCACATAATAAAATTTACTCAACACATGGATGGTGAAAATTAGAGGGAACATTGGTCATCGTGCATTCTTCCTCACAGGAGACTGGAGGTTTTTCTAAAAGATCTTGTCAAGGAACATTTTCTAGCCCTTGTTATGTAGGAAGTCCGATTGAATGAGCACAGTGTTCTCTTTAGGCCTTGGAATCTATGAATTTATGATACTTTTTGGATTTTTTTATGCCACAGGGTGGAATTTATGTGCTCACACTACTGGACACATTTGCAGCGGGGACTTCAATCTTGTTTGCTGTTTTAATGGAGGCAATTGGAGTGTCCTGGTTTTATGGTAAGTGGCTTTTCTTTTCTTTTCTTATGACCAAAAGTCTTGTAAACTGTTGGCTATCCCCAGAGCTGTAAGTAATGATGGGAGTGTGTTGTGTGGCAGAAACCAGAAGAGCAGTTTTTTTCATCTTATTTATGCGGAGACAAGAATACATATGGAGCCTTGCGCAAAGCCAAAACAAACTGTATCAGGCAGAAGATCACTGGGGACAGAATCCTTCCATTCTTGCCCATGTGTTGTAGCTGTTAACACACCCCTGTGAGTTGGAATCACACCTCTAAACCATGCAGAATTTCAGGTCAATAGGTTAGCTTAGTTGCAAAGCCACTGACACTTTTTCCTGCAGAACCTCTTTGCTACTCTCAGGGAGCATGTAATCTTTTGTAGTTTCTCCATAACCTATATAACAGACACATGATGGCGTGACCCAATAGTCTTGTAATCAGTTCTTTGTGAGCAGTTCTTCTGGTTAAATCAAAATACAAAATACAGTATAATGGCCTGTTCTCATTCCCAATCAGCTATTCCCAAATTACCTGGTGTATTGTTGTGGATTTTTCAATGTTCTCATCGAAATAAGCTAATGCCCCAAATGTGGATCAAAGCTCTGACTACAACTATAATTTGCCATATTTGTAATGTCATGTTTCCAGCCAACTTTTCAGACATCATATACATTGAAAACTTGCTTTCCAATTACTTCCTCAATGATTATTCTATAAACAAATGCAGCTCAGAATTGATCTCAGATACAAAGTGCATGTAACCGTTCCACTTCCATTCTTTCAAAAATACATGCAGCATTCAGACTCCTCCTTTGATGACTTAGTAATTGGGTTATTTTGTTTATTTTTAATTTCTATTCTGCTTTGAAGCAGTTGTGTCCCAGTTATTGAGGACACCATCTACGAAGACAATTCTGTCAAATATCAGAGGGGTAGCCATGTTAGTCGGGATCTGCAAAAGTGACAAGGAGTCCTGTAGCACCTTATAGACTAACAGATGTATTGGAGCATAAGCTTTCATGGGCAAAGACTTTGCCCATGAAAGCTTATGCTCCAATACATCTGTTAGTCTATAAGGGTATGTCTACACTACCACCCTAGTTCGAACTAGGGTGGTTAATGTAGGCAACCGAGTTGCAAATGAAGCCCAGGATTTAAATATCCCGGGCTTCATTTGCATCTTGCCGGGCGCCGCCATTTTTAAAGCCCCGGTAGTTCGGACTCCGTGCCCGTGGCTACACGCAGCACGGAGTAGGTAGTTCATCTTAGGCTCTCTAATCTGAACTACTGGTACATCTCGTTCCACGAGAAGTAACGGTAGTTCGGATTAGAGAGCCTAAGATGAACTACCTACTCCGTGCTGCGTGTAGCCACGGGCACGGAGTCCGAACTACCGGGGCTTTAAAAATGGCGGCGCCCGGCAAGATGCAAATGAAGCCCGGGATATTTAAATCCTGGGCTTCATTTGCAACTCGGTTGCCTACATTAACCACCCTAGTTTGAATTAGGGTGGTAGTGTAGACATACCCTAAGGTACTACAGGACTCCTTGTCAGTTCTGTCAAAGACATTCTAAATATTTTGGCAATTCAGTAGACCACTCAAATGATAAGCATCTGAGCAACACAAACCTTTCTCTTTTGCACTACCACATAATTTCAGGAATATATTGAATGTCCTAAGGGTCCCATAATAATAATCTGGGTTGGAGAAAATAATTCTTACTCACAGCAAGTACTCCTGCTTTGACAAAAACAGTTCAAACCCTCTATTGTACCTTAAGATAGTTGGCATTAACAAGTCAGTAACATTAATCAACCACTCATGCTTTCTTCCCTCTCCAATCACCTCTTCTGTCTTGGCCAGCATTCAAACTTACATTATCCCTTAGACTTTATGTGACTCATCCAAATGTGTACTGTGCTAGCTGTCCTGATTTCTGGTGAAATGATTCTTCTTTTTCTAACAGTTGTCTTACTGTCTTTTTAGAGAGAGTGCTGTACAGCTGTCATTGGGCGAGTTATAAAGTTCTCGGGCATGCTTGCTCCTATTGCAATTTACCTCTCTTGACCATTTATTGTATTCCACCTGCTCGCCTCACTTTATTTTTCTAGTTAAACTCCCACATGGAAACTTTTGGCAAGCGAGTGATTTGAAGGGGTGACAGCCACAACTGGTACATCTAAGGAAAGCAAAGAATCTTTGCAATGGTAATTCTGTCCATCAGAGGAATCATACATATCATATCACAGCTTATAATGCTGCTTTCTTCTAAAACAATTAAAGGCACTAGATTTTAGAGAAAACGGCTTTTTGAGAGAGGTAAATATTAGAGTGTATGTCAAAGAGAAAGATGCCTTAGTTTGGTAGCTGCAGCATAAAAATAGCCTTGTTTCTTTAGTGATGAAGAGTTATCTTCTGTTATTAAAATGGGATTTACTGTGCTTCACAATGGCTAGACTTGGATAAAGTCCACAAAGTGAATTACGCAAGCTCAATCAGAATTCACTTATTTGTTAGAACTTCTCTCTGCTCATCACCTCTTTTCCTCCCTCCATAATTGGGAAAATAACTATTCATTTGTTTCAAGCAGATGATAAATGTTTTCACTGACACAATAAAACCTGCTTCTCTATAAAGAACAATTTATTGCAGCCCCAGGTGCTATTTATATATCACTGACTGATTAAATCTGGCATGATCTTGACCACCTCTTGTTTTCTGATGGGCCTCAGTTGCCTTAGTGACCCTGCAGGAACATTAGCTTATCCCAAAGGCAAACCTGACATTTTGGCACAGACCAAAACTGTGGAAATATTTAGTTCACATAATACATGTGTCCATTAACTGCAAAGCTTTTGTTCCAAAGATTTTTGCGGGGGACGGGGATCTGGTTTGTTTTAGCAAGCAATGATATTTTAATTGGCATTCTGTCTTAATACCAGTAACTTAACAAGGGTATGCATTCTTAGAAAAGCCCCTACCACTCCAAATTAAAATCTGTTAATTAGCATCGTTGCCAGGAAAAGCTCCGTGTCATAGGGTTTACAAGTCACAAACCTTGTCATGGCATGTTTCTGTAAAGGAATAAGCTTAATATTTGTGAACAATGAATTCTTGTTCTCATTTTAGCCTCACGTTTTCAGTTGCTCAGAATCTTCTCAAATAAAATCCGTTTGGACTGAAACTTTCCTGGGCTCAATCCATGGGTGAATTTGTTTGGAATATTTGAGTTAAATGGGTTGAGCCATTTACATGAGAGAGAGAGAGACAAATATTAGCCAGGAACTGACTTTTGTTCATGCTCAATCTGTTCACACACACATACAGGGGTACCCTGACTAGATTGCAAAAGGGGGCTGAAGTGATCAAAATGGGCCAAATTTGAGCACCATTGTAATCCCATGTGCCTGGTCATAATGCTACTCAAATCTGACCCAGCCACCCTTGCATTCTACCAGCAGGGAGGGAATCTGACATTACACCATCCCCCTCTGGTCAGAGACTAAGAGGATGAGGACCTGAATTGTAGTGTCCTCCAAACCTCTCAGCATGACACAGGCCATGCATGCTCTTTACTGCTTCTTGCAGACTTCATGAGGGTGTCCCCTAATGTCAGTAGTCCTGCAGTGTTGTGCTCCTGGGCGACCACAACGCTGCAGCACCAAGGTCTGTGCAGTTCCTTCCATAGAACAATTTTAAGCAAGTGCTGCTGTAACATCCTTCTCCACCATCCTTTCCTCATTGTTGCTCAGGTTTATTTGGTGGCTCAACTGTCAGATTGAAGCACTTCAGACATGACTCAGATTTTTTCACATGCAAATACACGTGTCCTCACAATGCTGCCCATATCTATGCAAATAAAACCTCTCCAAATATTTTTCCAAACAAAACCTATGAATACACATTCATGGAAAAATGCACAAAGAGGGTAAACATGCTTGAATTAAATCAGGGTCCAATATTGGAACTTTGTCCGTAATATATCTCCTACCCCTACTTTAAAGATTTCATTTTCCTGCCGTCATTTAATCAGATATACCACTTAAAGTGTAATTGACACACATCCTCTTTGCAATTCAAAATAACTTTAATTTGTATTAAATGCAAAGTTAAAAGAGTATGAAACATGACATACTCAACCTGGCAAAAGTCAATAGAAGACGTGTGTGTGTGTGTGTGTGTGTGTGTGATTATGATCCCAGATACCGAGAACTGGAATAATCATCCTGATTTTGCAGACCCTTCTCTATATACTTTGAGAGAGACCCATCAAAAAGAAAAAAAGTGTTTCTCTCCAGGGCCAATGGTTTTGTGTAGGATTTAAGTGATCTATGGTACTCATGCTAGCCCTTGGCACAAGGATGACTTATTCCCTGCCTAAATCCTTAATGAAGTCTTAAACAACTCATACAGCAGATGTTGGGGCATCTGCAATGGGTGAACTTTCATTCATCCTGATTAAAATACAGTGGCCTTCCTGCAGATGAGATGAAAGGATATTGCTGTTATGTTAAAGAGTAATTTTCAGTTACACCTGGTATAATTTGTCATATTTTTAAGTTATTCTTTTATCCATATTAATTTGATTGCTATGTCTAGAGCAATTACTATGCAAGAACTGTGCCAACTGTTATAGGTGGAGTAGCAAAAAATTAGCATGGACACATTGATAAAATGGCTTCACTGTTTATGTAGATCAGCAATTGCACTGAAATTCTCTTTAGCACTAATATATTTATCTAGGGTGTCTGCTCATAAAACATAAGTGTAATTTAACTGTTTTCCCAGTGAGAAAAAGAGATGAAGCTCACTGGCAGTGGTGATTAAAATGTGATTCTCTCAGCTGGTGCTTACATCAAATATTGAGTTTATTATACCAATTCCTTCTCATGCTGGGATTAGCCATCACTTTGTAGGATTGTTTTTTATTTCCATGAGATATCTATAGAAGCAAAAATAAAATTGGGACATTGGTTTTCAAGAAATATGGAGAAAG